GGGCTCCAGGTGTTAGCTGAGGCTCCAGGTGTTAGCCGAGGCTCCAGGTGTTAACCGGGTCCTGCAGTTCTCTGGTCGATCGACAGCATTAGCGAGTCGTCGTCCTTCAAACGAACGCCGTCTGAGATCGTCTCATCTCCATCCTCAGCTCGTCGTGGCCGAGCAGGTACTGGAGGCAAAGCATTATGGGAGCAGCAGTGGGTTAGCGTTAGCACAGGAGTTAGCTCAATACGTATATATGAATATAAACTCCAATCAGCTCTTTATCTACAGTAACTTTAGCAAAGTTTCACCTTCATTCTATGAACATTTTCCTTGAAGTCCAGAGAGGAGGGTCCAGATTTATCACTTTTTTAATAAACTTTTTAAATTCTGAGCCTCAGAAGTTCATCAGAACAGCAGACAGACACATGACATTTAGGAGGAAGACCACAGAACTCCACATAATTAATTCAATGTCGGTAAAAGCTTCTAAAGGGGGTGAATATTTTTACGGGCGCTGTGTTTGTAATGTTATTTGTTCTACTTGTTTCTCGGAGATCTCAGGTTCAAAGAGCCTTAAAGGGCTGAAATACCAACATGATTTCAGCAAAACAACCAAATGTGGCGCCTGCGAGCGATAAAACCAGTAAGTAGCATGGGGCGAGCGTTTCTTTCTCATTTGCGCTCAGATCTGTGGCGTTTTAATGGCGTTCCTTCCTCAGATTATCTCCATCTGAGCGCCTCAAACTCCCAATAACGAAGCAGCAGCACGAGTCATTAAGCAGCAGCAGCAGCAGCAGCAGCTCGTGTGTCAGTGTCGGCTCTTACTGTGAGGTTGTTGATGCTTTCTGACAGAGCTTCTATCTGCAGAACGGTTCCCTCTGCGGTCGCCATCTGCAACAAACACGAGCACAGTGAACCCGACGCAGTCACGCACTTCGTCTTTCAAAAAGAAATATATTTGCATCGATGCGCGTGTGCAGCTGGACGCGTGACGACTGCACCTGCAGCTGCATACTGAGCAACATGCACCTGTAGCGGGGTTACCACGGTGATGACCGTCAGCCATCTTGGCTCAGGCGGCGGTGGGGTGTGGGGGTGGGGGTGGGGGAGCCGGTGTCATAAACAGCCATGACAGCCGCCATGATGGTGAGGATGATGATGATGAAGATGATGGAAGCAGGTTAGTGGTTGATGCAGGTTGTTTTAGATCCTCCACGTGTCCGTTTCCTCGAAGCTAAATCTGTTTAGCTTCAATTTAATTAGCAAAAAAGCAGCATCTAGTGTTCCTCAGAAATACACACGAACCTTCTGTATGGAAAGAAAGAGTCGACTTTACACACGTATAGTTTTGTTTATTAAATGATTGGATAAACCTTTAGACATTTACATGACCACATGTAGCTCCTTCCATCGGAGACTCTTTGCTATAAAAATACTATTACAGTCAAAATATGAAAATAACAGTACAAAATCACCACCTCGGCTCTCAGACATGCTATTTCCTTATAACTCGCTCCGCAGTGACATAAATATTAAATAAAAATCCCTCCGTGTTATTATTATTATTATTATTATTATGCAAATATTGCACAAGTTCGTCTCCACCGTGTCGCAGACCTGAACTCAAGCTGGTTAAAAAAATCAACAGGCGTAAATACATGATGCTGATTCACACGTATATAAAATCATCTAGTGGTGCACAAACGTTAGAGCAGCGGTGTAATACTGTACAACGACGGGCCGCATGGATCACAGAGACGCCACAGAGGAGGTTCTGGAGGTGAGTCGGGTCATGGCACAGGTCTGAGGTCGGGTTAGTGAGTTAGTTTAGGCATCTGACTGGAATACTTCAAGTGATTCGTGGTGTCAGGTCGCCCTGCAGCGTCACGGTTCGGCTCTGAGTCCGAGTTAAGGCACCGGGTCGGGCGAGGGGGGTGCAAAGGAGCGGGGAGGGTTTGAGGTATTACGGGCTGCAAGCAGAGGAAGCAGAGTAGTAGCAGAGACAGCTGATTGGCTGATGGAAAGCAACACGGCGCTCCATGTTGTCATAGCTGTCGTCACGGGAACGGGTCAGCCCCGCCGTCCCGGAGCCCCACCTGGTCCCTGGAGCGGTCGGGTTCTCGGTCCAGAATCGGGCTCAGGCCCCTGAAGCCGGCGTACGGACGCATCTGCACGCCGTTCGCCGCCGACTGACCCGACGGAGGCGACGAGGACGACTCGATGGGACAAACGTAATCGGTGGATTCGTCCGGACGACGCCTCCTCAGGTGGGCCAGGTTGGAGAAACCCAGCTTCTTGGGCTGCAGGAAACAAGACGACACAAAAAAAAGAAGAAGTGTCACAACGGTGGAACAAAAGGGTCGGTTTGTGCTGCAGGAGCACCGGGAGCAGAGCAGCGCTGCACGACGGGACGAGCTGGGCGGCCAAGTTTTATCTGGGATGGTTTTTGATTTTGGACAGTCTCAGAACGCACCTCATCCTAGAAAATGTCGTATACAAATAAAGTGTTTGGAGGAAATAACACCTGGCAGCGATACTGATACGTGTAGAGCAGCTAAATCACAGGTATTCACGTCAGGTTCCCTCATGTCGACTTCCTGTCAGTGTTTTTATACCTGGTCAACATTATACCTCACAACCACCAGTGTATTACTATTAGAGCATCTTTGCCAATAAAACTGTTATTTAAACCTGGTTTTTGATTTGTTAAAGGCACAGGACGGGACTTTTGGTGAAGTGTTGCAGGAGCACCGGGAGCAGAGCAACGCTGCACGACGGGACCACAGCGGCGGCTAAAGGTTTTGATTTTTGTAGACGCACGCTTGGATTTTTTGATCCCACCTCAGAGTCACATCGTGTAAAGACGTTTGCAGGAAACAGAGCCACTCTTTCACCCTGCAGTAACACCGACGCTGTGAGTGTGTATCAGCTGAACGCCATGCACTCCAGATATTAATACACTTCCTCTTCCTTTAGCGAGAAGCGATAGCAGGCGGCAGCTTCTATAAATGTTTCCCTTAAGCTTCCCCTTGCTGACAAAAGCCACTTTGATATTATCACAAAGCACTTTATCACTGGGTGGCTGCTGCCCCGCGGGAGGAAATCCACAAACACACACATAAACAAACCTATTTTTGTGCTTTTTAGAGCCACCGTCTCTTTTGCATACCGGCTTATGTACAAAACCATAGAGTTGCTTAAGAAATTTAAGATCTGAGTGTCCCCAGGTCAGAAATGGGTCAGCTGTGAGCGCGAATTGTGTTTTCGGCTGGATTATTTCTCCAGCAGAAGGACTTAACGATGAGTCTGCAGCAGAGTCTTAAAGCAGCGAGGAGGAGCAGAGCGGTCCGGGTTTACTCTGCTCCCAGAGATTAGACCGAGCCGACTCACCGAGGCCTCGCCGCGGATTAAGGTGCTTTCTGTCCCACATGAAGGTGAACCCAGTGCTCGTTCCCATAATGCAGCATCGTGCCGCCTCCCGGCTGCGTGACGGAGCCTCTTCCTCGCGTCTTCCTACCTTGACTTTGGCGGTGATGCTGAGCGGGGCGTATCCCGCCGCCTCCATGTACTCCCTCTTCTCCTGCTGGGCCTGAGCGCCCACCAGGTTGCTGAAGTTGGTGTTGAGGTGTCGCCTCAGCAGCGTCTTCTGAGGCGAGATGTTCAGCAGCATGGCCAGCGTGTCCGAGCTGAACCGAGGCTCCAGCATCTGTCGGAGCACAAAGCGGCGTTAGAGGCGGAGTCGTCGGGTTTTTGTTGTTGTTGTTGTTCTATAAGCTCTCGGTTCATGTGAACTCACGATCAGGCCTCCGTGGACGCCGCTGCCTCTCAGGTTCGGCGCGTATTCGGCCAGATCCACAGACCTCAGCCACTCCATGACTCTGTGATTGGACCACTGGACCACCTCGTTGGGCGTGAACTGGTTCTGAAACACACAAAATGAACAATGAATACGCAAAATACTGCACATTTTCTTGTACTTTACATTAAAGATTTTACCTGCTGGCTGCTTTAAAAGGCATGCGCTAAAATAAAACCATTTATCAGAACCACAAACTGTAAAAAACACTCTTTGGTAATTAATTATCTGTGTTCTGTCTGGAAAATTATCCAAATACAGGCTTAGAATTGTGATATTTCCTCCTTGGTTTAACAAGATTCCTTAAAATTCTCTTCTCTGTGCAACTATAAACTTATTACTGACTCGGCTGCAGTCACATAACTCCAAAGTTTCAGGACCTTCTTGGTTGAACTGCAGCCAGTGTTTCCACAGAGCAGCGAGGAGACGACGAGAGGAAGATCTAACAGAATGATGAAGCTGTCTGGCTTCAGAAACAGACTCGTGGGTCGGCTGCAGTCTCTGCGTTTCAGCGATAACCCACCTCGTTGCCGGGTCTTCGTTTCAGGCAGTTGGGGTTGAACTTGTTGACGTGCAGGACGTGGATGGCGCATTTGATGCTGAGGTGGTGCAGCTGGCTCGTAACTTTGAGGAACAGCAGGTCGTTCTGGGATGGAGAGAAGACAGAGGGGAGGTTTTCGCTCAGCGCTTCAGTAATCCTAATTTAACCGAACAGAAGGGCAACGACGAACAACATTCAGCAGCACTGGTCGGTGTGCAGTCAGAGGAAACGAACCCGCGTCACGTTTTCCTGTCATGTTCTGCAAAAAGAAGCCAATTGGTTTAAAATGACTGCAAATGCA